GAGGGACAACTGGCACGTTGGGTTGGAAGATAGACCAGTATAATTATGATATTCAATACAGAGAAGGAAAATCTCATGCAAATGCCGACGGACTGAGCCGAAGACCCTGCAAAAATGACCGCAGACATTTCTGCAAAAGAGAGGTTGAACTAACCAGGTGTCATCAAGCTGAAGTCAAAGTGACTGTAGGAGTTGACTATGTTGAAGTGGAACCAAATATAGATATTAAAGCAGAACAGGAGAAAGACCAAGACTTGAAGCCAATAATTCATCTTCTAAAAGCAAGTGTTTTGCGCCCTGCTTGGGAGAAGGTGTCTAGCTTAAGCCCTGTGACAAAGAACTATTGGGCACAATGGGACCAGTTGAGGCTTGAAGATGGTATTCTTCTCCGGAGATGGGAGACTGCAGATGGAAAAGTGACGACCTGGCAAACAGTTATACCGAGAAAGTTACGGGAAGTTGTGCTGCGTCAATTCCATGATAGTTTAACAGGAGGCATCTCGGATTTAAAAAGACATTGAATCACCTACAGCAGAGATTTTACTGGATAGGTATGAGGCATGATGTGGAAGAATGGTGCAGGATCTGCAGTACATGTTGTGCAAAAAGGGGACCCAATCATAAGGGACGTGCTCCAATGAAGATATATCAAATTGGCACACCAATGGAAAGAGTAGCCACTGACATTGCTGGTCCTCTGCCCCAAACTTGTGCTGGAAACAGGTACATTTGTGTGGTGATGGATTATTTCACCAAGTAGGTTGAGGCATATGCAATACCAAATCAGTGATTTCTAATACCAAATTAGTGATTTATTCTTCAGGTTTAGTATGCCATATGTATTGCATTCAGATCAAGGCCGTAACTTTGAATCAGCTGTGTTCAATGAATGCTGCAAGTTGTTTGGCATACGAAAGACCAGGACAATGCCACTTCACCCACAGTCTGATGGGATGGTAGAAAAGTACAACTGGACACTAGGACAGGAATTGGCAAAGTTTTGTAATAGCCACCAAGATGACGGGGATGTCTTACTCTCTAGAGTATCAGGCGATACTTTACATTGTCCTGGCACAGATGATCTGGTTTCCATGAATGGGCAGGGGTATCCAGGTCCTTCTCTAATGTTTGTGCTGCAGCAAATGCAGCGAGAACTTTTATAAAGATGTCATACAACAAGGAAGGACCCGATTATATGATACGATTGTGTGTTGCAGGGTCATTTACAAGCAAATTAGCCCATACTTGACATGCAGGAGGGCTGGAGGTGAGCTGTTGCTGCTGTCACTCAAGGTCCAGAAAAG